ATTGAAAAGCCCAACTACCGAGAAGAAGTGGAGGCGACGCCACCTAGATCCTTCATTATACACTGCAGCTACTAGGTTCTTACTTTTAACTTCAGGAATATCATTTGGGTTGGTAATAATCTTGTGCCGTTCAAAGATTTGAGGTAATAGCAGGCACGGCGTATTCTATCCGCTTCATCGGTGCCACCCTGGTGCAACTTTCATAAGGTGGGTAGTTCTCGGTGAATTTCAGACGGGCCGTCGGTTTGCCGGAGGTTACAAAACGCCTGTTGGGTTACGTAAGTGGCGAGTGGCTTTTAGGCTTCTGAAGACGACGATTCAGCAGAAACATTAATTTTCCTAATGAAAAGTCCCACTCAAAAGTCTCGAACGGCATAAGAATATTATCAAAGCAAACTATAATCACTTATGAATAGCTTTTCATTTATATGCAAACAACTTTTTCACCATTTTTTAAATAATTTAATTTATTTTTTACAATCAATTTGTCTACCAAAGCCAGCCTTCAATGAAACTGCTCCTCTGTGAAATCCAATTTAATGCACCTTTTTTAATGCACGGTTATTGCTTTTGCGAAAACTTCGCAAGAACTGAGAGCTACGCTAGTTGTTAATTGCTTTTCTGCGGATGATAAGCGGTCGCGCCATCGGCCGATGTAAAAATAGTGTGTTCAGTGAGCTGAAGGTCATAAATGCGGCCAATGAGTCAGCAATTCTTTTAGCAGCCAGTCAAAAAAGGCCGAGTTTCCCCGGTTAGGCGATACTGCCTGGAGCAGGACTTGCTGAATTCCTCATATCCATTACACTACTACTACAAGTTCAGTGAAAATTGAAAGTGAACGAACCTCATCAAGTGCCTGATTAACTATGAGGGCATCAAGATTGGAGAGCTGCTTCAATGAGTCGACCTCCTTGCAAAACGGTGTCGAAGTTTTAGGACCGAATTGTTCCGTGAGGCTAAATTAAGTAGATTCAGATTACTAGTAACTTTCAGAGCTGAACAGAAGGAAAATGCTTCTTACGCCTTTCTTTGATCATCCTGAGGGCACAGAATTCCGACCTGATGCGGTTCAGTGCCCTTGATGACGTGATGCAGGCATTCAATCAGTTGTCGTTCAACGGCAGGCATTTTTCTGTCGGCGATTACCTATGCATGGAAAATTGCTTGATAAATTTTCTTTGAGCATTCATGGCACTGAGACATTAATCACGGGAGGAGGTTTTTCTCAAAATTTTACAGCGAACGATTCTCTACTCGTTGATGGAGCGTAACCTTGGCATTTCTAAGCGGAGGGAGGATGATCCTATCCAAGAAGTAAGGGTTAATAGGCCTTTTTTCGACTCGTATTCAACCCAAGGCCCACTAATTACGAAAGTGACCAATGCCTTTGCCTCACGAACGTGGCCAGCATTTACAGCAAAGAATGCAAAGAGAAGAATGACAGTCATTTCGGAACCCTTCCAAAACTACCTGAAAAGCCTGATTGCATTCACTGCTAGAGTCTTTTGAGAAGTAGGCAAAGTCTTTAGAGTTAAACATTTCGTTCATATGAGCTCTGAAGATTTGCCATCGGAAAGAGGCTATGACATCTAGGGTGTTAATGCAACTAAAGCTCTGAAAAGGCACTATGACAAGCCGAACTTCGATGGCTCCGCCCATCAGGTAAAGATGAGCGAAGGTAATGGACTATGAGCTTTCGTCGTGCTACTTCGATGCCGTTTTTCCCCCACAACGCTTCTTATCAGCTCGGACACGTTTTTCTCAATACATACTGCGTAGAATCGTAATCTTGGTAGGAAATCATCACTATGAGAGTGAGAGCTAATGCTAATGCTTGTGCTCAACAACTGGTTGAGCCTACAGTCAATAGATCAATGCGACGCTGGAAGAGAATGAGGTGCGAGTGTCAGTAAAAGCAATGGTTTATACTGAGAAAACAACTATACTGCCAGAAAATGCCTATAATTAGAGTTATATTTGAACTTTTTTATTTTAAAAGAGATTCCACAACAACAAATTCTTATAAGAAGCTATTAGAAGCTAAAGAAATTCCTTGAGCTGTAACATGAGAGACTGATCAGAGAAACTTCGTCGAAGTTCACTTTGAGTACTAACTATTACGGGTGCGAAATGATAAGGTGATGTTAGCTGGCGCAGAACAAACATCAAAAATCTGGCGGCCAGACAGTGTAACCGCGAGATTTGTTTTTGCTCTGTTCAGCGTTGCAAATGCCCCGTCCCATTCCTTTGAGAAAGCATGGGAGAAACAAAAGGCATCCTGATACAGAGGAAACATTTCAGTCTACAGCTTTTGTTGAAAGTGGAAAGGAAGAGAAATGGTCAGATCGATCTCGCTTTTTTACACGAAAATATCAATGTCTCTGGGTCTACGAAACGTGAGACTAAGAAAAAAAAGCCCCCGTCGGCTAATCAGAGCAACGAACAACCACCGTTAGATCGTAGTTTAAAATAGCAAACGATCCGCCAACGATATGCACGGAGACATTCTATCTTGAAGGCCATCTAGTGGAAATATGGGAGCTGCCGATTGAAATTCCATCGATTAAATGCAATATCTATGGGTGTCGCATATTTTTCCATCTTTTATATCATTCGTCATGTTCCCTTCACCCTTTCATCCATCCATGTGAAACGTTATGAGACTGTGTGCTTTTCAGACGCTATTCCGAAAGGGAGAAGAAGCTAAGCTGCCAGTGGGCTCAGGAGAGCAAGGGAGAGTCATTGCTACGATGTCCTGAATCTGTTCGAGGCGATTTTCTGTCAGTCCATTGAAAAGGTCTCTAACGCCTATTTCGAGGGTCTACTTCTACCGGTACGATATTGGCTCGGCAAGCTTACCTAAATCCATTACTTCACCCGGTTACCTATTCCTGATAATAGCCTCTGTAGCGAGGAAAAGAAAAGCGTGAATGTACTTCCAACGGACTACTGGTACAGGTAAATGTGACAGATTGCGAGAGGCGGGGAGTGGCCGTTTCCAATGTTGCGATTTGGCGGAAGTCATTCTCAGCAGTGAAAGAGTACACATTACACCGACGGAAGAAATCCAAAGATTGGAAAATCACTGTTCAACATCAAAATTCAGCGATCAATGGGAACATCCAGAATGATCGCATATTTATTTATTTGCATGCACAAAGCTGTGTAAAGTGTCGATGACAGCAATAGCTGGCTTGTCATCAGGTCTTTCTGAATGAGAAAATACCGGAAAAAAATTATAGGCACACAATGTATTTTATAGAAAAATTATGAGATTCATCTGTAGAACAACAATAAGACGGACTGATGAAAAAAAAGAAGGTCACAGGACTAATGAGTACGGTAACATTTTTTCCGATGACTAGAAAAGGATTTTTATAATATTCCCGGATTTTTTCGTAGACCATTTAGCATACTACTTGTACATTCGATTCTGAGCCAGCACGAAAACAGGAGGAGATGGTGATGGAACAGTCTATAAATAAATCTGAATAAATAGAGTCAATCACCTGGAAACAAAAAGCTTTTAAAGGATATTGAAAAAATTTACGAATTTTCTTAAATAACAAAAAATGTTCTTCAAGAAAACTAGAAAATAATTATTGTTAATTAATTAAATTTAATCAATTTTAATTTAGTCAATTTAATTAATTAAAAATTTTGAATGAATCAACGAGTAGCTCGTTTGACTGAAGCGGGACTTCTCGGAAGACTACTGCTTTCTTCTTTCATCAGAGCTGTGTTCAATCACAAACACAGAAGCTACGGTGAAAAATTATATGAAAGTTTAAATAAAAGCGAAGTCAGAGCAATATTACTCCCCTCATATAATAATTTAATAACTATCCGAATTCTGCTTAAAAAAGCAATAATGACTCTGAATAACTTGAACTTTAACATAATTACAATTATAGCAATTATTATCAGTTTAAGGTTACCGTAGTTACAATATCAAAATTTAAACATAGTTGAACATTAGAATGTTTACGATGGTTCGTCAGGGTTAAAAATAATCATTATTAATGAATTACCAAGGGCTCCTTTCTACCTTTATGTTGAAAGTTTTAATTTTTGCTGAGGTGGTAAGGAAACAAAATTTTCAATAAAAGTTATGGATAGAGTCTTGGGCGCTAGGGCGCTGATCAATCCCTCCTGAGGTATGCACCCACGTATTCGACCGTGAGAGGACCTAGAAAAAAGCACTTTGAGTTTGCAGTCGCCATGGAATCACTGGTATTATTTCTTAGGTATAATACTATTATAAGATGGAGCCATTTGAATTTATTTAGGTCTACTGATATAATTAGACGTGTATTGATTGGTTAATCATTTATTAATCATTTAATGGGCTATTGGTTTCCAATCAGATCTATAGATCTAGTATATTTGCTAAATTTCACCAATTTGGCTGCCTGTCCCAGACTAGACACATCTCCGGGAAGCTTCCGATGAGTAAGCATGTAAATGAAAGCATACTGTAGTCTGCTGGAATTGAATTACATTCTTTCTTGGGTAGACAGAAATCCACTGCAAAAGAAGCACTTACTGATTGAAAATTAGGTAAATAATTGGATGGATTCCATTCAATACTACCCATACAATACATGATATGTAATCGGATAATGTAGTGATCCCAAGTAGCGGTTCACGGAAGGTCCAGTAAAGAAATGATAGGAGGAAGTACAGGATAATCATAGACACCTAAAGATCGGAGTAAGTCTTTCGTGGATTTGCCTTGCTTCTGGCCTTTTTCCCAGCCGAACTCTCTTCTCAGTAAAACTGAGTGGTGAGAGCTCCTTTTGGGATTTTGTGCGGCAAGTTTGTCTTGGCAAAACCCAATAGCTCTGGTCAGCTACCGTAGACACAGCACAGGCTATACTACTACTTGCTACCCTGACACCATTCCTAAGCTCTTAGGAGGTAGTTAAAATTTTCATTAACAAATCGTCATCATCGATTATACCCATACGAAAAACTCGTTCATGGGACGAGGGACCAGGATCTAAGGACAGAAGTGGGAGGACCATAGCAATAAGATGCGATTTGGAGCTTTGGCTTGAGCTTCAAAGCAGGGAAGTGAGCTCGGCTCCTGCCCACTCACTTCCCTGCTTCAAACATATGATCCAGTTCCCGAACCTATGATCCATGGCCCATATTTAGGAACGATTTTTCTTGTATGGAAAGGAGACAATGGTGACGACGAGGCAATGGGAATATTGAACCCCTCTTATCTAAGAAATTTTAGGGTACCCATTTTTTCAGCTCGAGTTTTCCTCACCTGAATCGTAATCCGAAATTCTCGTTTGCTCAGTTTAGATGAACTCTGAAAATACCAAAAAGTTAGGATTTCTCCAAAATGTTAGCTGACTTGAAAACTTACAAAGAAGCCAATATAGCAGAAAATCGATGCATATGTTATTGTCGATGCTATAACGAATACTAAAAGTAGATATGTACCTGAAAGTAATGCATTATGAACTCATTTACACCTTAAAAATATCTAGATCACTTACTGGTTTCCGACATTATCGCTGATAAAACATCATCTGTCGGCAGATAGGACCACGAAAAAGTCCGGGGATTGAATACATAGTTACAGAAAGGGAGAAGTTTTAGTAGGAATGGAATGATAAAACTCAAATAACAGACACCGAACAACACCTGCAAAGAGTCTCAAAATAGTGAGATGTATACCAGATCGAATTCCGAGTTTTTAAGTTTATTTATTCATCGCAGGAGTTCCGCCCATTTCCGGAATCACGCCTCGCTGCCGGAGACCACCACCAGACAGCGGGAACCCATGAAATCAATCACAACTAGTTGCAGAAATTTTGAATGAATCGAGAGCCTTGAAGCCCTATAGCAATCTGATTCCAACAACCGAAATTCTAATTTTCGGAGAACACATATTTTACTTTTTCCTTTCGGATTCCTGCAAAATCAACTCTATTTTTGGACTTACTGCATGGGTTTTACTGTCATTTTTCGACATTTCTAGTGCTGGGTAGGTTTTTATCGTCTTTGTTTATTATTCAAAAACAAGCTAATGANGATTCTCTACTCGTTGATGGAGCGTAACCTTGGCATTTTCAAGCAGAGGGAGGATGATCCTATCCAAGAAGTAAGGGTTAATAGACCTTTATACGACTCATATTCAACCCAAGGCCCCCTGAATACGGACTTGACCAATGCCCCTGTCTTACGAACTTGGCCAGCTTTTACAGCAAAGAATGCAAAGAGATGAATGACAGTCATTTCGGAATCCGTCCAAAACTACTTGAAAAGCTTGACTGCATTCACTGCTAGAGTCTTTTGAGAAGTAGGCAAAG